ACCCAAGTATTCTCAGTTTTTCTTAATACAAACGGCATTCTAAGTGTAGATTTGACACAACTTCAAACTCTACACTGTAATGAGTAAACGAAATTTAAGCTTCCGCGAACCCAAGTCTACTCAGTTTTTCTTAATACAAACGGCATTCTAAGTGTATATTTGACACAACTTCAAACTCTACACTGTAATCACTTAATGAAGCCTGTTCCTCCGTAAACACAAGGTTAGTGTTACGCCAATATTTATTTGGCAACATAAATAAAATTAAAATATTAAATTTTTAATAATAAAATTATTAATTAAATATATCAGAATTATTTTATTTTAAAATTATTTTTCTTTATTATTAGACTTGCTTCAAGTTAGATTGTAGCAACTCTAATATCATATTACCGTCAGGAATTTCGGGACGTCAGCGAAACAATATAAAGAAATAACGCGACTTTATTAGGCAACTCGCATCTTGGAAAAATAATAATTTTATTCTTTTTTTTTTAAATTTAATTTATATGAAGCAAGCTCTTGAAGCCAACACGAAATTTTAAGAATATATCAATTAATGAAGAGTAATAATTTTATAATCTTCATTGATTGATTGTTCCTTTTATTTTAAATAAAAATCCTTGTAACTTCGTCAATAACGTTGTTGCAAGACTCGCGTCTATTGTAGTACACTAATAACCTTGCAGCAACGTTGCAGACGAAACTCGCAAATAACTAGCGAACCGCAATTTTGCGAAGGTTGTAGAATAAAGATTCATGACTCTGACATCCTTAAGAAGCAAATGGATCTTGTCGCAATGTTACCAACTTGTAACTTCCGTAGTTAGCGAACCGCAATTTTGCGAATGTTGCGGCTTCGATAATCAACATTGCCACAACCTCCTGAAGCTATTAAACCGTGCTAAAATCTTATTGAATGGTAAACAGCCGAGATATCGTCCGAAAACCTTTCAGCAACATTGCGAGTCGCTATTGAATAGATATATACATTTAATAATCAGATGTTACGCAACAAGTGCGAATTTCGTTCAAAATCATTAATTATTTATTCGTGAAAATGTATTATTATATTACCCTAAATATATCGCAAAATGTTTATATTATTACCCTAAAGAATTGTTAAATTTTAAATTATTAAAAATTAAATTTAAAATAGAAATTAAAATAATAAGATTCGAAATTAAAATAATATTTCTGCAGCCATGGGTGGGGACTCCTCACTGAACGCGTTGAGTGAAGGCTCCCCGCGCGTCCCTCGACATTGCGCGAGAGAGAAAGAAGACTGTATGTAACGGCGAAGCGTTCTCTCTCAGACACACTGTTCTCGCGGAGTACTGCGTTCTCTCTCTGTCGCATGGTTTTCTCCCTCGCTCCAATGACTAGTACGCGTCACTCTTACTCTTACGCTGTCGAATGCATAGTGGATGCTTGCTCTCTCGCACTCGTTAGGTATTACGACCATAATACACATTAGTATGGCTGGAGACGTCTATGCTGTACGCTATGGCACTAATACACCTATGTTTCCTTACTCACAGCCTATCTTACCTTGCCCCTCTGTATCTCTCAAGCCTACAAGCTATGCCTGCCATTGCTTTACTATAATGTGCTTTTTAGATCTATATGCAACTGATCAATTCCAGATCAATATTGAGACAATTGATCTCAAAACTGGAACTGCAACAACATTCAAAATACTACAAAATAGATGGAATTTCTTTCTGATTGGAAATGTCCATTATCTTAAATTATATTAACCTTTTATATGAGAGGGTTAATTCTAAAATTTCAAAGATTAAATAAAATATAAAATTATTTAAAAGAATAATTGGAAATAATTTTGTTTCGAAATAACTTTATTATTTCAACACTATTTCACTAAACCGATTTTATTGCAAATTCAGCAAAACTGGCATGGCAACAGGCCCCACCTTCCCTTTCCACCTACAATTGCGAAATTCAAAATCAGCAAAATTTCCCACCAGGTGCCCTAAGCCGACCTGTAGAGGCATCTCCAGCCCCTAAATTTTTGTTCAGTACGGTTTCCGCGAGCATCGAAGTTCCAACTCTGTTTGGAACTGCCCGGATTAAAAAGCCTAAGCGCTCCCGTCCGGTACCAAGGACCCGTTTTGATTCGTGTGCTTACACGAATAATTTCGGTCGGACGTAAAGTAAAACGCCAACTTACTCCGAAGTCCACGGAGGCCGGTTAAGAGTCAATTCAAGTGAAGAGTTTTTAAATCTAATTAATTTTCTTTTTCTAAATTTTTGTCGAAAGACCAGCCGGGTGCGGAGTGCCCGCGTCTGCTCTTGCAATTGACGGCTTAGCGAATTAGAGTAAGAGAGAGTGGATTTGTCTGTCCCTGTTAAAAAGATTGTTCGCGCAATAAAAGAACATACGGCAACCCGCGAATGCGCCACTCGAGTGATTGTGTATGGACGATTTTTCAAAATTTATGTTTTTGCCCGTCGAGAAGAAATTGTCGACGGTAGAATAAGGAAGCGGAACGGTAAGTACTCAGTATCGTTCCGGGGTAATTTTGTAACTACATCCCTCTTCCCTCCCTCCTTTCTTGTAAGAGAGAGTGGAATACATTTGTCAGTATTATTTTTGAATGATAAAATAAAATTAATAATTCTTTTAATTCTTTCTTCTCTTTATTTTCTGTTCCCTGTTTCTAATAGTAACAAGTATAAAAGGAAGTCGTGGTATATTTTCCTATCTTATCCTAGAAAATATCAGCAATTAGAACGAAACGAACCCACAAGTAAAAACAAGGCCCTTCAGGCTTTGGCAGTTTGGACCTCCGAGAACCTCTGAAATTTGGGCCATCTCAAAAGCCCGATGTATTGTTCTAATTATTTTTAACAATAATTATTTCAAAACAAATAATTTCTTCGGTTCGTAACAAACTGATGGTGGCAGCGGTGGGATTTTGGACTTAAAATTTTATCTCGATTTTGATCTTAAAAATTTTTATCTCGATTTTAAACTAAAAATTTATTCAATCTTGATTTTTCTAAATTGCTACCTTGCCACGTTTTCTTAACTTGTTACTTTATTCATTACACTTTGGATACTTTTAAAACTCTATTCTTTCTATCATGTTAGCTACAGTCTTACTTCATTTCCTCTGTGAGCTAATATGCCCTATTTTACTATTCGCACTTTTTGCCTATACTATAGTAAATGAAATTTTTCAATTAATTTTTGGGGTTATTTCCCTATTTAAATTTTCGCACTAGATTTGATTGGAGTGGATTTGACGACTCTATTGCGAGCTGTGAGATTTTGGCTCTCGGGTAACCGATGATGACGTAATCTCGCATGCTGCGGTGGTGGCTCGAAAAACTCTATCAGGTTTACCTGCGTTCTAAAATTCAATTTCTTTCAATTTTACTGGACTGTATATACAGATTTGAAATTGTTACAAGTGACGACTCTGACCACTGTGATAAAGAAATTTGGCTCTCTGGTCCAGACCAGATGACGACTTAATTCCGCATCACTAAAAGTGGCCGGTGGCTCCGAGAACAGTGTTCGATCTGTTTCTACAACCCCCATAGCTTCATATTCCTTCCAATTTTCTATGGTGCATAAAGGGATTTAAAATGGTACTATGTGATGACTCTAACCGCCTGGGATAAAGAAATTTGGCTCTCTGATTAAAAATCAGATGACGACTTAATTCTTTATCACTAAAGGTAGTCGGTGGCTCCAAGAACCGTGTTCGACCTTTTTCTGTACTCATAAGATTCTTTATTCTTTCTCACTTTTCTTTCGGTACTAAGTTCTATTGCCTTTTCTAATGCCGAGTAAAAATAGAAAAAGAGGTGGGAGATCAAAAAGGATCAAGTCAAAGGTACAGGGAGAATTTTCCGCTGACGGAAAAATAGTGAAAGCTTTAGATTCTGCTGTCTCTCAAACAACCCTCCCTAAAACCCTTCCACCTCCAACCAACACCTTCTCTAAAAATCCTATAAATTCTGGGGGGAAATTTTCAGAACAATTGCATTATTTTGTGGTGTTTAATCCAAAATTCCCGTTTCATAAGGGTACTGTTGTGAATCGCCAAGACTTGAGAAAGCTCTCATTAACCTTGGTGCGATCAGCTGACATCCTCACAGATACCCCCACCTTACGTCTAAGAGTGAGACGTATTGAGAATTATAATGACGAGAAAATAAAGATTATCCGACCCCCTATTGTACCCACAGAATCATACAAGAATAACGACTATGACAGTTGTGACAGTGACGCCACTGTAAAATACGACGATGACGTCATAGTGATTGACTAAAATATCCCTTATTGTGATTTTCAGTTTTGTAGAAAATAACGTGTAACCATCGATTAAATAATTCCTCATCGATTGACAAATAGAGCTACTGCACACCGATTAGATTTTCTCTAACTCGCGAGTGTTCTATTAAACGAAAAAAAAAAATAAAATAAAATAAAAAAATTAAATAAATAAATTCGCAAATAAATATACATATGTATATTGAACGTTTACTCGTGTCAGTAGTACAAGAGTTGTGCAATTAAGATTCTAGTGAAGACGCGTCAATTCGAGAAGTGGAGGGGAGAACGAGGGCATTATGTTAAGAAACATGTCCCACCACAACATTATGACTCCCACTCCTACGCTCAGTGTTGTGATCAAGCGAGACCCCAAGACACCGCGAGGTCGACTGGTCATTCACTTCACTACCTTGAACCAGATAGTATCGCGTCGCGAACAGCTGTTGACAAAAGTGACACCTAAGCTGTAGTTGCATTTTGTTTGAATTATTTTTATTTTCTTTTATTTATTTTTGCTTTCGACTTCGAACTATCCCGTGCAAATTAGCAGGAATATTCCGCGGTGGCGAAAAACAATAATTGAAATTTAAATTGTTTTCCTTTTCTTTCTCAACTACTCTACGAGTATTGACAAGTAAACATCTTATTAATTTAAATTTATTTTCCGAATTTTATTTAACATTAACACGAAATGACGGATCGCGGGGAAACCAGTACCGGTATAGGATTTGGGGGTACACATTCAAACATTACCCTCCAACAAAACCCTGCAAACCTTGATACGACGGCCGCGGTGGCCTCAGTTCTCGAATGTATGACGTTACAGCAGAGCACCCTACACATTCCCGTTTTTGATGGACGTAATCCGCCTCTGAAAGAATTCTTACAAGACGTGGCAAATGGAGCCGCGTTCTTGACGGAAAATTCCGAGCCCGGATTCATCAATGCCGTACTTAGCAAATTAAAAGGTGCGGCTCGGGAATGCGTGAGAGACAGGCGCTTTCAACGATTAGACGAATTAGTGTCCCATCTAAAGAAAAGATTCGCCTCTTTTAAAAAGTATCAATGGTACTTAGACGGTATCATGAGTATCCGTTTTAAACAAACAGAGACGGTTAGCGATTACAATGATCGATTACAGGGCTTGTTGAGCGGAGCGAGACACGCCCTGCAAGCAAAATATAACGCACGTTATCGTGAAGTACAAGGCGACGCTGTTCGTATTCAAGAAACTCCCGAAAGTACTATCATGATGAAACCTATCATTGACTGTGCCCTTGAAGCATTTATTCGAGGTCTGCCGGAGGAAATGTCTATTTTTGTGGACACGAGAAATCCGGCAAACTTGGAAGAAGCCTTCGAGCATGCCCTTCGTGCTGAGGAGAGGCATAAATATTCGGATCGGTCGCGAGGTACATCGTATCATATTACCCGCGCCGAAGAACGCCCTCGATCACCTAGTCCATACACAAGGCAGGTCGAGAGGAACGTTCCCAATCCGGATAAGCGCAGATCAGAAAGCGATAGGGATTCTGAATCACATAGGTCGCGAAAGAATCCGGCAAGTGACGTGCTGCAATTTACACCCGAGCAGCTTGCAACATTCTATCGATCAATGATGCCACAATTCGCGAATTTTCAACCCCCTCCGCGACCCATGAATTATCAACCCTCTCAGTACCAACAACCACCAACAAATAGAAATTATCAGGAACCAACTTCTAATCCCAAATTTAGTATGACACCACCACGTGCAGTGTCTCCTGGACCTCAAGGAAATTTAAACTTCCAACCGACTCGGCGCACCGACGCGGCGGCGAGTCCAACCCCGCAGCGTCAGCGGAGTGTCCAGTTCGCGGACAATACCATAAAGTCCTACGAGCAGGAAACACGGCCGAGGACTCCCCAGTAGTGCAGTTCACCGCATCAGAATTTAGAGAGCCAAAGATTAGGTTTCTAGTAGATCCAGGGTCCGATACCAACTTAATCAAGCTGTGTGCCCTAGAACCCGAACTCACCCTTGACCCGAGCAAGCGTACAGAGATTACGGGAATAACAAACCATACAGTCAGAACACTCGGTACAATTGTACTTAACATCGCGAATACACCTGTCGAGTTTCACGTGGTAAGAAACAACTTTCCTGTTTCTACTCACGGAATTTTAGGGCGACCCTACCTTCGACAGGAAAAGGCCCAGCTATCATTCTGGCACAATACCCTGGTTACTATCTCTAATCCAGTGACCCCTATCCCTTTTGTTGATAAGGAATCACTGGCCGCAAAGCAGATTTTGAAACCTCTTATCAAGCCCTTTAAAAGGGTTCTGCGCATTCGAGCCAGAACTCGACATCCAATTGCTATAGACGTTCGCAACCCTAATTTACCACAGGGTTATCTTCCCCGAATTAATACTCCTCCGGGGGTGTATTTAGGTGACGCCGTGGTAAATAGTGAAAATGGCGTATGCCATGCTGTTGCTATTAATACCACAGAAGAAGATGTCGACCTAGAATTGACTCCTCAAGAACTAATCCCTTTTGATTTTTGTAATCTTGAGGATAAGGAATCTTCCGACTCAGAGTTTGATCATCCCTCACCCCCACTCTTAACCTATGCAGAACGAATTAAAAAGGTTAAGGATGCCCTTTTCGTGTCCCATTTAAATTCAGAAGAAAAGGAACTTGTCTTTCAATGGGCTGATGACTATGCTGATATTTTTCATCTCAATGGGGAGCCCTTGAGTTGCACCCATTTAATTCAGCATAGAATCCCTACCACCGACGATAAAATCATTCACAAAAAGCAGTATCGATCTCCTAATGAAGCCCTACAGCAAATCGACGAGCAATTGCTCAAACAGTTCGATAGTGGCATTATTGGAAATTCGACCTCCCCCTATAACTCCCCTCTTCTTATTGTTCCAAAGAAACTTGATGCTTCGGGAAAAAGAAAATGGAGGGTAGTTATTGATTATCGGGCGCTTAATGAAAAGGTGATAGGAGATGCTTACCCCCTCCCCAATATTTCCGCCATTTTTGACAAATTGGGGACGGCAACGTACTTTACGGTCTTTGACCTTGCCAGTGGTTTTCACCAAGTGGAGACACACCCAGATGATCGGCACAAAACCGCTTTCTCGTCTCGAAATGGACATTTCGAATACAAGCGCATGCCTATGGGGATTAAAAACGCACCCCCCACTTTTCAGCGACTTCTAAATAACGTGCTTGGCGGTATGCTCGATTCGGAGGCATTCGTGTACCTTGACGATATCATTATCTATTCTGATACCCTCGAAGAACACGATAGGCGAGCTCGAAGGCTATATAATAGACTTCGAGAAGCTAACCTAAAACTCCAACCTGACAAGTGTGAATTCCTGAAAAAGGAAGTTGCCTATCTTGGTCACATTGTTGGAGCAGATGGAGTAAAACCGAATCCAGTAAAGATCAAAGCCATCAAGCATTTTCCTGTACCGAAAACCCCAAAAGAAGTCAGGAGTTTTCTCGGCCTCTCGGGCTATTACAGGCGCTTTATAAAAGAGTACGCTAAAGCAGCGAAACCTTTATCCGATCTGTTAAAGAAAACAGAAGAGTGGAATTGGGGTATTCCACAGCAGAAGAGTTTTAAAAGACTTAGAAAGGCTCTGTGCAAAAGGCCTATTCTGCAATACCCTGATTTCACAAAACCGTTTAAACTAACAACCGATGCCTCTGAATATGCCATTGGGGCAATGTTGACCCAAGAGCGAGACGGCATTGACCTCCCTGTCGCGTATTATTCAAAAGTCTTAAATGCTACCGAGCAGAAATATCTCAAGCCTGAGAAGGAATGCCTTGCAATATTGTACGCTGTTGAGCATTTTCGACCTTATTTATACGATCAAGATTTTATCCTGTCGTGCGACTGTGAACCAGTTCACTGGATGAGTTACGTTGAGAATCCAGGAACGCGACTTCAAAAATGGCGATTAAAGTTACGAGGGTATCGTTACAAATTCGAGTATAAACCCGGTAAAATAAATAGAATCGTGGAAGCCCTTTCTAACAACCCTGTCGAAAATAACGACAAAGAAAACATAAATGAGGAGTTGCTGTCCTCCGAGTCAGAATGGACTGAATCTTCTGACGAAAGTGATCAGGATGACTTACATGACAAACTCGACGAATCAAAAGACAATACACCCCCACTCCGCGCCCTTCCTATATCTAGTAGTGCGCTAAAGAAAACAAGTGGTGACAGTGCGCGAGTGAAATCCGATCAACTTCAAAGTGATAGCAAAAACCGACAAGGTGCTCCCCACCCTTCCAGGGTTGAACCCAAACCCACCAACAAGCAAGAAGGTAAAAACATTCGACCTATTCCTACTTTCAAATTTCCTGCGGAAACAAGGAAAGGAGTTTCTTCTTCAAGGTCAGTGATACCCCCTTCGGGTTCTAGACAAGCCCCGCCCACTTCATCATCGACTTCCAGGACAACCAGGTCGTCAGGGGATTCTCTAAGACCGGCTACATCGAAAGAAACCCCATTCATGCCTAGGAAAATTCTCACGAGACCTCCAACATCACAGTCAATCAAACCTGTGTGCTCGAGTGGCAACAGTTCTCCAATCCCAGGAACTTCTTCAGAACCAAAACCAACAACCTCCAGACCCCGTGGAAGACCCCATGGATCCACCAAACCTAAGGAACCCCAAGGTGAGGATGCTTATGTTCCCCCTCCAGGCTCTAAACTTGTGGATCCAGATGTAAGCAGCATTGCTAGGAGGTTGAGAGAAAGGAAACGAGAAATTCGAGAGGAAACTCGTCGCCAGGAAGAGGAATCTTCCTCTTCAAACGAATCAACAACAGAGACTGACAAGGAGGAAATTTCCGACCCTCCAGTATTTCGTGCGAGTCACAGTGTATTCCCTAGTCTTCCTCCCCACCTCACACCTAAGAGTTCGACTACACCCGAAACTCAAATCAACATCAATCAATCATCACCCCCGTGCATTCCTCCAGAGTCCAGTTCATACACAGACGTTTACGTAGATGGCGCGTGTTGTGATAATGGCGGCGTAAGACCACGTGCGGGTATCGGTGTTTGGTTTGGTCCTGATCACCCTCTCAACATCTCGCAACGATACAAGGGTAGACAGACCAACAATGCTTCCGAAATAGAGGCTGCCACTGCAGCAATCAAACAAGCAAAACGGGCTGGGATGAATCATCTTAGAATAAAAACTGACTCCAAGGTTCTTGTGCAGGCAATCCAGGAATGGGTTCCAAAATGGCAGAAAAATGACTGGAAGACTAACGAAAATAAACCAGTTAAAAATAAAAGTGCCTACGAACGATTGGTTAAGGCCATGAAAAATCTGGATGTCGTGTGGGAACACGTGCCCGGCCATGACGGAATAGATGGAAATGAGAACGCCGACCGACTAGCAAGAGAAGGCGCCCTTCTAGAACCCCCTTCAGAATCCAGCTCTTCCTCTTCCAGTGAGTCATCGGATCAAGAGAGTGCAGAGGTGCTTCCTCCAGACCAGGCGATTGTTACAGTACCCCCTCCACCTCCCGACAGCGAGGAAAGTTCGGAATCAGAAGATGAACAAGAAAAGGAAACTAAAACACAGGATAATCCAACAGATCCTAGCGACCAGGATGACTCCTTACAACGATCAATCAAGCGATTCGATGAATCTCTAAAGCAACGTGATTTAAACTCCTTCGAACAGTCCAATCAAACCTTGGCATGGGATCATGAAGGTATGGGCCGAACACCTAAGAAAAGGATTCATGTTTCCGATGGAGAAAGCGACGAAGATTACCTACAGTACCTTGAATCTTTGGATCCTTGCGGAGAAGGTGACGATGGCGAATTCGCGACTAGAGTAAAAAGATTTTTGGACAATTTTAACAAGAAACGAGAATCGAATCGAGAGCAAGACCACACACCTCGTGTAGAATCTATACCACCCCTCGTGTGTGAACCTCCCTCTACCAGCGGAATTTTAAAAGACACCCCCGTGACAAGTCACCCTTGCCCCGGAAGAAAACAAAGCGTGGTACGTTTCCAGGACATGCCCGAAGTGATTGAAGAAGCAAGTGTTAACGATAGCATTGCAGCCAGCCTTCCGGCCTTTACCCCAGGAAACTTGCCAGCTCCAGGTGCGCAGTCCACCCCGTTCACCCGGTTTCAGGAAAAAGAAAGCGAAGAACAAACTGAAGAAGTGCGACGGAGAGCGAACATTGTGCCTCGGCGACTACATTCAAACTGTGCGGATCTACCCCCACCAGTGATGTGCATACCCCGAGCAGCTTCGCCAATAGACATTAGCATTTCTGACGTAGATTCCCCTTCTTCCTCTGAATCCTCGGACGACGAGAAAGTGATTGCCACTACCTCCAAAATTACCAAGGAAAACTCGGAAAATGTTTTCCACCAATGGACCGAACCTTTGACCTACAAGAAAGACAATATCGCCCATTTTATCTCTGAAGATTGTGAACCCGTGGATTCAATTTCTAAACTTTTAATTGCCACCAACAAAATCGACTTACAAGATATTCGAGATAACAATCCGATAAAAGGACAAGTTCAGGTCACCCTTTGTGGACGATATAAAATTTACTCGATCGTGGTCAAGAAAAGACATTCTGACGAACTCAACTGGAGTGACGTTACCGTAGGGCTACGAAATTTAAAGTATGCTTTAGTCCTTGACAATCAGACTCATTGCCGAATGGCCAATTCTGGAGACCTATTAGGTAACCTCCCTCAAACGACCATGGCGGGCATATTAGCAGGAATATTCCGCGGTGGCGACATAAAGATCACCCTTTGCCACGGAAAAATCGAAGTTCCTCCTCCGGAAATACGCCCTAAAATAATATCTGAATTCCATGATAGTTTGGTAGGTGGCCATAAGGGTATTACAAAGACGTACAGACGAATACGTGAACGGTACTATTGGCCTAGGTTACGAGATGATGTAACACAATTTATTCGCAAGTGCAAAAGTTGCCTTGAGAATAAACTTGTAAGAGCTCGAACTCGCGAACCTATGCTGATAACTGATACCCCGGCAAACCCATTCGACAAAGTATCCCTTGACACAGTGGGTAAATTAAGAACTACCCCTAATGGAAATCGACACATTCTAACCATGCAGGATAACTTTAGTAAGTACTGCATCGCAGTTCCTATCCCAGATATAAAAACTACCACCATTGCCCATGCTGTGGCAACGAACCTTTTCTCTCTCTATGGAGCGCCTAGATGCGTGCTCACAGACAGAGGGGGAAGTTTTGTGAGTTCCTTGATGCGAAAATTGGAGAAAATATTTGGCGTGAAGCAACTCACCACTTCCGGTTATCGCCCTCAAACCAACGGTGCTTTGGAGAGAAGTCACATTGAACTGACAGATTATATTAAACACTATGCAAATGATTTCGACGATTGGGATCGTCTACTTCCTTTCGCGATGTTTAATTATAATACATCGGTTCATGAAGCTACAAACTTCACTCCATACGAGCTGGTTTTTGGTCGAATGGCCCGGATTCCTAGTTCGTTCCCACAGGGCCCAGAACTGGAAACTTATGGTGTTTACCTGAGAGATTTGATAGTTAGAATGCACGAGCTACAAAATTTGGCTGCCGATCGATTGATCAGAGCTAAGGAAAGATCGAAAGAATTTCATGATTCAAAAGCTCGGCCCTCTAACGTCAAGGTCGGCGACCAGGTCTACACGTATAAGGAAGTTCGAACAAATAAATTTGATTCTCGTGCCCTTGGTCCGTACACTGTGGTCGGACTAACCCAGAATAATAACGTCATTCTGGAGGACGAAAATGGCGAGAGATTTGCCAAACACAAAGATAAGATAATGGTTGCTCATTTTTAACCATTATCTCTCTCCTGAAACGTCATTAACGTGATTTCTGATTTTAGGTGAAAAACAATAACGAAAGGGTGGATCATAACTGTTTTGTGCCTACTTCCTATCATTGCAGTAAGCAACGTTTGATCAAAGATGTCTAATTTCTTCGCAAACTCGGTATCACTTAAAGAATTGGAGGAAGAGTTTCAAAGGCGTCAAGACCTATACAGTCAGAAGGAGGCCATGGACAGACAAACGACCCTTATCTATGGTTCGTACGGAAGCTCGATGCTGATCATCATATGCATCTTGATGTACCTGTGCTGCAAAGTTATTTCGAGTAGAGCCAGCTGTTTCACAAACACCACAAGGTCTAAACAGAAGAAACCCAAGGTAACAGCTGATTGCCAGTTCAAGTTAAGACAAAACTATGCTGTGACCTCGGAAGCCCAGGTCAACAGCTCGACATTACCCCGGTGTCCTACTATCAACAAAATCAATGATTCTACTGAAAACAGTGCAGGAACATTAAATGACTATAATCCAATCAACATGGGGTCTTGTGATACCCCACAGCCTTCAACAGCATCCCTGTATCCTCGCATCAATGAGATTAATGATTCTACAGAAAACAGTGCAGGAACATTAAAAGAACATCATCCAATCAATATGGGGTCTTGTGACACCCCACTACCATCAACATCACAACAAGAGGAATTACAATTTAATTCTGCACCAACAATATTTAGAAAAACGCATTCGCTGCCAGCAGCGACCACAAGACCAGCCGTCATGTTGCCGATACAACAGCTACAACCGTATTAGTAAGGTATATTAGGATATAAGGCGACTAATATTACATAACGGTACAGTAAAGGGTAGCAATGATTTTGTGCCGGAGAGAAAAATCCGCGGCTTGGAATAATAATATCCCATAAATAGTAAGAGGAACATGCGAAGGTCTTAACGATAAACCCTAAGGGTTTAACTGCCAACTAGAGGCGCCTCAAGTGCCCGTTCTCCCTCCTGTCGTTTTACTAATGAGTGATTGCTTTTATACAAACTCGTAAATGCAAACACTCATAGCGTACGAAAGTGTTGGGTCAGCACATATCATTGCTATCTTTTACTGTAACCAAAACAGGAAAGTTGCGGTGCGTGAGAATACATTATACTCTGAGAGCGTTTCGACAATGGAGCCAGTACCGTCAGGACGTATCCGCGGCCTTCTCCTCGTCAATAAGCAAGGAAAATTTACCATGGTGGGGAACATATAATGGGATAAACTTACAGTGTAACACAGCCACTCAGAGGCGCACCCACCATGGAGGGGCCAGATTTCCTTCCTACCATGTAACCAACAAATGGTGTTTGCTGTTATAAAAAAAAAAAAACTTTTATAAAAGCAAGCACCCATGGCTTATGAAAGTTTTGGGTCAGCACCTTACCATTTTCGAAACGCCCTAGAGAGTTATTTTATTTTTATTTTATTTTTGGGAAATTAATAAATAAGCTAAAACGGGCTGCGATAATAGCTATTCTATTTTTTATATTAAATATACATCTGAAAATTAAAAAAAAAAAAAAAAAAAACAAAACAATACATTTATGCATATGCGTATTTATATGTATGTGTACAGGTGTATGTACACATTAATTCCAATTTGAAAATTGAATATATATATGGGTAAATAGTATACATATATAAATAAAAATTGTAATATATAGATGTATGTAATATAATATATAATATATAGTATATGGTTTATATATATATATATAATTTGATATACAAAAGAAAGTTTTTTTTTAAATAAATAAATATATAAAATAAACAGTTAAAAAAAAAAAAGAAAAGAAAACTTTTAATAACAATAAATTAAAATAATAAAATTGATATAGTATGTGTACATGCATATGTATGTGTATGTATATGCGTGTATTATGTTGAAATAATATTTTATATTTATATTGGGAATATATTTTATACATTTAATGAAAAAAAAAAAATGAGAAACAAAAAAAAAAAAATAAATAAAATAAATAAATTTATAAACAAAGGGAGAAAAATAAGTGATATAAATGCTATATATGTATATATATGTATATATATCATTTATAATATATCAATATTTAATGAAAATTAAAAAAAAAAAAAAAAAAAAAAAAAAATTTTAATGTGAATGTGTGTTAATATGTATGGGTATGTGCCGTGTGTTCTATGTAAGTCTATTATGGAGTATATTATCAATATATTACCAATCTGTCGATAAAGGGACCGGCCTTTCGCGTCATACTCCATCCGATTTGCGAAAATTCCAAAGAAACAAAGATCACGAACAACACCCACTTAACCGTACACACTACTTTTGTCGAACCGTCGCGCGTCTAAACTATACTAATGAGGTAGTGCAATCACGGTCAAGTGCATCGAGGCCCACCCATCCCCACCGCGAAGGTGCTAATGAGTATATCGCGACAGCATGTGTAATAGGGCAATTGAAAAGAGAAAAGAAATATAGCCACGAATATAATCGCAATTCTCTTTCCTCTTTTCGCTCTTCTATAGTAATAACAATTGTAGCTTATTATTCACGTCAACTCGATAATTAAAATTTATAAATGATTAGATACATTTTATTAACTCGTGTTGAGTTTAAGAGCTGCTAGTTTTCGGGGACGAAAACGGAATTTCCACGGTGGTTTGTTACGCCAATATTTATTTGGCAACATAAATAAAATTAAAACATTAAATTTTTAATAATAAAATTATTAATTAAATATATCAGAATTATTTTATTTTAAAATTATTTTTCTTTATTATTAGACTTGCTTCAAGTTAGATTGTAGCAACTCTAATATCATATTACCGTCAGGAATTTCGGGACGTCAGCGAAACAATATAAAGAAATAACGCGACTTTATTAGGCAACTCGCATCTTGGAAAAATAATAATTTTATTCTTTTTTTTTAAATTTAATTTATATGAAGCAAGCTCTTGAAGCCAACACGAAATTTTAAGAATATATCAATTAATGAAGAGTAATAATTTTATAATCTTCATTGATTGATTGTTCCTTTTATTTTAAATAAAAATCCTTGTAACTTCGTCAATAACGTTGTTGCAAGACTCGCGTCTATTGTAGTACACTAATAACCTTGCAGCAACGTTGCAGACGAAACTCGCAAATAACTAGCGAACCGCAATTTTGCGAAGGTTGTAGAATAAAGATTCATGACTCTGACATCCTTAAGAAGCAAATGGATCTTGTCGCAATGTTACCAACTTGTAACTTCCGTAGTTAGCGAACCGCAATTTTGCGAATGTTGCGGCTTCGATAATCAACATTGCCACAACCTCCTGAAGCTATTAAACCGTGCTAAAATCTTATTGAATGGTAAACAGCCGAGATATCGTCCGAAAACCTTTCAGCAACATTGCGAGTCGCTATTGAATAGATATATACATTTAATAATCAGATGTTACGCAACAAGTGCGAATTTCGTTCAAAATCATTAATTATTTATTCGTGAAAATGTATTATTATATTACCCTAAATATATCGCAAAATGTTTATATTATTACCCTAAAGAATTGTTAAATTTTAAATTATTAAAAATTAAATTTAAAATAGAAATTAAAATAATAAGATTCGAAATTAAAATAATATTTCTGCAGCCATGGGTGGGGACTCCTCACTGAACGCGTTGAGTGAAGGCTCCCCGCGCGTCCCTCGACATTGCGCGAGAGAGAAAGAAGACTGTATGTAACGGCGAAGCGTTCTCTCTCAGACACACTGTTCTCGCGGAGTACTGCGTTCTCTCTCTGTCGCATGGTTTTCTCCCTCGCTCCAATGACTAGTACGCGTCACTCTTACTCTTACGCTGTCGAATGCATAGTGGATGCTTGCTCTCTCGCACTCGTTAGGTATTACGACCATAATACACATTAGTATGGCTGGAGACGTCTATGCTGTACGCTATGGCACTAATACACCTATGTTTCCTTACTCACAGCCTATCTTACCTTGCCCCTCTGTATCTCTCAAGCCTACAAGCTATGCCTGCCATTGCTTTACTATAATGTGCTTTTTAGATCTATATGCAACTGATCAATTCCAGATCAATATTGAGACAATTGATCTCAAAACTGGAACTGCAACAACATTCAAAATACTACAAAATAGATGGAATTTCTTTCTGATTGGAAATGTCCATTATCTTAAATTATATTAACCTTTTATATGAGAGGGTTAATTCTAAAATTTCAAAGATTAAATAAAATATAAAATTATTTAAAAGAATAATTGGAAATAATTTTGTTTCGAAATAACTTTATTATTTCAACACTATTTCACTAAACCGATTTTATTGCAAATTCAGCAAAACTGGCATGGCAACAGGCCCCACCTTCCCTTTCCACCTACAATTGCGAAATTCAAAATCAGCAAAATTTCCCACCAGGTGCCCTAAGCCGACCTGTAGAGGCATCTCCAGCCCCTAAATTTTTGTTCAGTACGGTTTCCGCGAGCATCGAAGTTCCAACTCTGTTTGGAACTGCCCGGATTAAAAAGCCTAAGCGCTCCCGTCCGGTACCAAGGACCCGTTTTGATTCGTGTGCTTACACGAATAATTTCGGTCGGACGTAAAGTAAAACGCCAACTTACTCCGAAGTCCACGGAGGCCGGTTAAGAGTCAATTCAAGTGAAGAGTTTTTAAATCTAATTAATTTTCTTTTTCTAAATTTTTGTCGAAAGACCAGCCGGGTGCGGAGTGCCCGCGTCTGCTCTTGCAATTGACGGCTTAGCGAATTAGAGTAAGAGAGAGTGGATTTGTCTGTCCCTGTTAAAAAGATTGTTCGCGCAATAAAAGAACATACGGCAACCCGCGAATGCGCCACTCGAGTGATTGTGTATGGACGATTTTTCAAAATTTATGTTTTTGCCCGTCGAGAAGAAATTGTCGACGGTAGAATAAGGAAGCGGAACGGTAAGTACTCAGTATCGTTCCGGGGTAATTTTGTAACTACATCCCTCTTCCCTCCCTCCTTTCTTGTAAGAGAGAGTGGAATACATTTGTCAGTATTATTTTTGAATGATAAAATAAAATTAATAATTCTTTTAATTCTTTCTTCTCTTTATTTTCTGTTCCCTGTTTCTAATAGTAACAAGTATAAAAGGAAGTCGTGGTATATTTTCCTATCTTATCCTAGAAAATATCAGCAATTAGAACGAAACGAACCCACAAGTAAAAACAAGGCCCTTCAGGCTTTGGCAGTTTGGACCTCCGAGAACCTCTGAAATTTGGGCCATCTCAAAAGCCCGATGTATTGTTCTAATTATTTTTAACAATAATTATTTCAAAACAAATAATTTCTTCGGTTCGTAACAACAAACAAAATAATTTTTTTTCATTAATTTGTTTCTATTTAAATCAGAAACAAATAAGTAAGTTTGCTTCCTAATTTTGTCATATGTAGTCTTAAAATTAGTTGTCATATTCAGAAATAATTGAATCTAAATTATTTTATTTTTTTTCAATAAATTGTTTGAACGTTTCTCACAAGCGGTAAACTAAAATCCTGGTTAATATATAAGGACAGGTCAAACCTTCTGAAGCAATGTAAAGCGAGCGATTATATGTATGCGTTTAGTATGTATTACGTTAAATAAAAATGTGTTGCGTGTATTAGGTGTAAGGTTAACATGATGTACTGTTTCAATTCGTATATGTGAGTATCAAATTGTAAACCATCAGAGAATCATTAAAGTAGGTGAATTGAGATTTTCAGTAATGGTAATATTTATTTTTTATATTTCTGCCTGAAGTTTTACCGAACTCTTCATTAATAATTTAAATAATTTATGAAATATCAATTCTGATTTATCAAAAACGGACCTTAATATTCTTAGCTATTGTTCTAGTTTATGTACTGCCAGTACCTTACGGTTTCCCGAACTGAACTTGAGACACTAATATATGTGTTATAATATTTTATGCCTTTTGCATTACAGTTTTATGAAATTCATTTTACTGTACTAATTATTGAAAATTACCGTTTTGCTGTTTTATCCCAATTTTACCGAACTAAGTTCAGTAAAACTCCTGGGAACAAATTTTCTCCGTGTGGCCCAACGTTTGGAAAAACTCCGAAAAACGCAGTTCATACGACTTTATATTCTTGGTTGGCCGAACTCTGGGCAATAGTTGGCCCGACGGTTGGCAAAACTTCGGAAAACGTAATTTAACTGACTTAAATTTTTTGCTTGGCCCAACTCTGGCTGTTGGTTGGCCCGACAGTTGGAAAAACTTTGAAAAACGTAGTTTAACAGATTTTAAATTCTTGGTTGGCCAAACTCTGGCTGTTGGTTGGCCCAACGATTGGAAAAACTCCGAAAAACGCAGTTCATACGACTTTAAATTCTTGGTTGGCCAAACTCTGGGCAATAGTTGGCCTGACGGTTCTAAAAACTTCGGGAAACGTAATTTAATCGACTTAAATTTTTTGGTTGGCCCAACTCTGGCTGAAGGTTGGCGCGATGGTTGTCAAAACTTCTAAAAACGCAGTTCAAACGATTTAAAATTTTTGGTTGGCCA